GCGCCTTTCGTTTTCGTCTTATTTGTCCCATCGATTACCATCATGATCGTGGCGGCCAAAAGAAGCGACAAGAACGACGATACATGAAAAAAAAAAGATATACGAAAAAAAAATTGAGAGAAAAAAAGAGAGAAGCAAATGAGCATGACAAGAGAAACGTAGGAGAGTATAGGAAAAAAAAGGAAGAAACATGACCGTGAAGGCTGCTGAAATACCTGTACATACACACATATTTGCATTACTATCATTTTTTTTTCAACATCCATTATTGCCTTCAACGATTCTACTTTTCATGTCCTCGATTTGTCATCCTATTTGTAACTAAAAAAACAGCATTGTTAACTAATCCATATAGGAAAAAAAAGAGAGGTGTTATTCTTTTGTTTATAATTTATTTATACGATTGATTTATTCTATGGATACATATTTGCCTTGTTCTATCTTTTGTAATGAGAAATAAAGAAGGAACGAAATACCGATGCTTTGAAGCGGAACCGCCGTCGATTTTTGTTACTACATATGAGCCTGGCCTTCTTTTGCTGAAGTACACCGATGAAATCGGTTTTTTTTCATTTTAAAACATCATAATACTGATAGCATGAAAGAAACCAATAAAAAAGTCTTCAGATTAATATAAAATATAAGTTCTAACTAAATAGAAAACCTATGAAAATACAGTAGATTTATATTGAATTGTACATATTTATTGAATTCTAAATGAATGAAGTATTATACAACTTTTATTCTTGAAAATTATTTCTTTTAGCACTGTTATATCGAAAGTAAAAGCGAATTGAATTTCCGTTTTTTCTAGTTACTCATATGAATGATTCATTTCGTTTTCACTAATAATCTTTGCGGTTAATTTTTGATCAAATACGATATAATTGACTCGAATTAGTCATAATGTATTTTTAGAAATATTTATTAATAGAATAAATGGTTCCCAAATTGAAAATATGTAATTCTTATTAAAAATAAATACTGCGATTAGTTATGCAATTGAAGAACTATGAAATGTTTCGTATTTAAATAAAAAAAACCTATTTCATATAATCTTCTATTTCGAAATAGAAAACTTTTATATCTTTAAAAAATACTCCACTGAAGATTAATTAATGTTGATAAATATTCGTTCTTATCAAGGACTTTACCTATGTTCAAATAGTTTAGATAAAAAAAAAAAGAAGCTCGAAATAAAACTTGTTGAAGATTGACATCTTTCATTCTTTAGTTTTCATTGGTTGTTACCTTTTATGTGCGTATTTATAAATGATTCACTTATTTAAAATTCTCACTTTTTTTTCATTTGTTTCTTTTTCTTATAATCATTCTTTCTTTATCGCAATACGACAGTGGTCTCCAAGTTAAATATGAGTGTTAATGACCGATCGTTAACAACATCAGCATCAATGAATATGCAAGGAATTGGTAATTCATCAGCAGGATCAAATCAATCCGATGAACAAGTTGAACCAGCATCAACATTAAGTATTTTTTCATTGGATATGAAAAAGTAAATTAAAGTATATTAATTTTCCGTATGTATTCTTTTCTTTTCATTAAAGACATGAAGATATTAAACAAATGCTTGATAGTAATAAAGAAAATCTAAAATTAGATGCTATGCGTCGAGTTATTGGTGTAAGAATAAATTTTGTTTCTATATTCGAAGAGAAAAATATTTATTTAGATGATTGCAAAAGGTAAAGATGCTGGTGATCTTTTTCCAGCTGTTGTTAAAAATGTGGTTTCAAAAAATATGGAAATCAAAAAATTAGTTTATGTTTATTTAATGCGTTATGCGGAAGAACAACAAGATCTTGCATTACTTTCAATTGCAACATTTCAACGAGGATTAAAAGTAAATATTTGTAAATAAAAATATAGATTGATTAGTTTCTTTTATATTTAGGATCCGAATCAATTAATTCGAGCAAGTGCATTACGTGTTTTATCAAGTATTCGTGTACCAACAATTGTATCAATAATGATGTTAGCTATTCGTGAAGCTGCTAATGATATGTCACCTTATGTTCGAAAAACTGCTGCAAATGCAATTGCAAAACTTTATGCGTAAAAATAACAAAAATTTATTATTCAAAAATCAAATAGTTTTTCTTATTTAGTTTGGATCCTGAATTAAAAGATGAACTGATTGTAATTATAACTAAATTATTAGCGGATAAAACAATTGTAAGAATAGGAGAAAAGAAAATGATTAGAATTTAGAAATATGTATATTTTTTTGTTATTTAGTTAGTGAATGGTAGTGCTGTACAAGCATTTGAACATGTATGTCCAGATAGAATTGATTTAATACATAAAAATTATCGCCGGTTATGTAATCTTCTTGTTGATATTGACGAATGGGGACAACTTACTGTATTACATATGTTAACAAGATATGCTCGAACACAATTTGTTGATCCAAATAAGGTTCAAAAATCTAAATAATAATATTGAAAATAATAAATATTTTTATAGACATATGAAGATGACAAAAAAAGTTTTTATGATGACAATGAAACTGAAAAAAATGCTAATGATGATGAAGAGTCATCAGATAAAAAAACATATATTATGGATAGTGATCATCGATTATTATTACGATGCACTAAACCATTATTACAAAGTCGAAATTCAGCTGTATGTATTTATTTGTTTAAACTAAAATCTTTATTTTATTTCTCTTATATTATTATACAGGAATTCAGATACAATATTTAATTTAAAGTAATTTGCTTAGGTGGAAGATACTAACATAACTAACTCTTTCATAAATGCATGTTATATTACAAAGATAAATAGTAAATAGATTAACATATTGAAGAGTGAAAGTCATTTACTGATAAATTAGAGATTACTTAAGAATCAAAAATGACTACAGCGAATAGTATTGAAAGTTACATAGTACATATTTAACAATGACGAATAAAGTTTTTTACTAACTTCATTTAACTTTTATTTTCTTCCATAGGTTGTTATGACCGTTGCTCAATTGTATTATTACGTTGCACCTCGAAGTGAAATTCATATTGTTGCTAAATCACTTATACGTTTACTTCGTTCTCATCGGTAAAATTCATAATTGTGTCATTTTTATTACATAACGAATCTTTCTTTTATATATTTTATCAGAGAAATTCAAACAATCGTTTTAAAATCAATAACATCTATGGCTGATAAACATAAAGAAATATTTGGACCATTTTTAAAATCATTTTATGTTCATTCAAATGATAGTAGTCATGTTAAATATTATAAACTTGAAATTCTTACTATATTAGCAAATGCATCAAATATTTCTACAATTCTTCGAGAATTTCATGTAATTCGATTAAATTTATTTATTAAATTTTTTATTTGTTGTTTTTATTAGACTTATGTCTTAAGTCCAGATAAAGAATTTGGTGCACAAGCAATTCATGCAATTGGACGATGTGCAAGTACAATTCCTGAAGTAACTGAAGCTTGTTTAAATGGACTTGTTGGATTAATGTCTAAGAAAGATGAAACAATTGTTGCAGAAAGTGTTGTTGTGATTAAAAAATTACTTCAGATAAATGTAAAGAAAATTATATTTTTTATTAATTCTAATCGATTTTATTATTATTATTAGCCATCACAATACGGTGATATTATCAAACATATTGTTCGTAAAGTTGATAAAGTAACTGTTCCAATAGCACGAGCATCAATTCTTTGGCTTATTGGTGAATATTCCGATCGAATTAGTAAATTTGCACCTGATGTTTTAAGAAAAATGGCAAAAATTTTTCCCGATGAAGTTTGTTTAGAAAATCTTTGGTTATTTTTTAATATATTTATTTCTAGGAAACAATAGTTAAAAATCAAATTCTTAATTTAGCTGCTAAACTTTATGTTATGAATTCGAAACAAACAAATCTACTTGTTCAATATGTATTTAATTTAGCTAAATATGATACAAATTATGATATTCGAGATAAAACACGACTTCTTCGGTAATAAAATTAACAAAATTCAGTAAAAATTTTACACCTGATTTTCATCTATAGGGCTCTGTTATTTCAAGCTGACAAATGTCCAGCATTAAGTAAAAATGCTAAAAAGATTCTCTTAGCACCTAAACCAGCACCATTACTTGAATCAATTATTCGACGTAAATTTTATTTTGAGAAAAAAAAACAAAAATTCTTTTGAATTTTTTCTATGTAGATCATGATCAATATACATTAGGCACATTATCATATGTTATTGGTCAAGCAGCAACAGGTTATAGAGATTTACCTGATTTTCCACTTGAACCATCTGATTCAAGCGTTCGTAATGTTGAAATAATACCTGTATCAACATCTCAACATGATTCAGCAAGAAATTCTAAGAAAGGAACAACACCTGGCGGAAAGAAAAATACTGGTATAGATGAAAACTTTTTTTCAGATGAAGAAGAAGAAGACGCTGAAGATGCTTCAACGGAAGGACCAGATGATGAAGAAGAAGAAAATGAAGAAGATGAAGAAGAAGAAGAAGAGGAAGAAGAATCCGATGGAGATGATGAAGAACAATCGATAGAAAATAAAAATAAAACTAATGAATACGAACAATTAGATGCACGTTCACCAACTATTGTTGAAAATCAACCTCAAAATAGTGAAAGTAGTGAAGAAGAAGAAGAATCGGAAGAAGATGAAAGTGAATCCGAAGAATCAACTGATGAAGATGAACAAGTATAAACTCATTATTTCATTTACATATAAATTTTTACTTTTCAGACAATTCCAAAGCATGTTTCAACTGTTGGTAAATCTCCTTCAAATACTACCGTTAATAATTATGCTTTACCAACACCGAAAAACTCGCTATTCGAAATCGATTGTAAATTCATAGAAGAAAAAATATTTTTTCTAATCTATTTATTTTAGCGGAAACATTTGATCCAACACCAACAAATGTTCAACAAACATCGACATCAAATTTCTTAGATGATTTCTATGGTGTACAATCTGAATCTGTAAAACTAATTTTGATTTATTTATTTTAATACAATATTTCATTTAGACATCATCAACACTTACTTATACTCGACAATATGATTGTTTAAATCGTATGACAGGTAATGGTTTACAAATTCAATATCGTTTTCCACGTCAACCATTTCCACGTACACCAAATATGGTTCATATTGAATTAACATTTACCAATACAACAACAAATAAAGATATTCAATCAATTAAATTTCTAAAAGCCGTTCGTTTCTCTTTCATATTGTTTTATTATATAATAAATTCTTTCTAGAGACCTGGTGTACAAATCGAAGGTTTTAAAGATATTGATGTATTACCAAGTGGTGCATCAATTATAGCATCGATTGGAATTGATTTTAATGATAAAACTCAAGCAGCTTTATTTGATATTTCATTTGACGGAAGACAATTATCAACACCAGTATCAATATCATGTCATGTTGGAGAACTTTTCGAACAAAAATTTTTAAATGAACAAGAATTTAATCAAAATTTAGGTACGAAAAATAGAAATTATAAATTTTTTTTCAAATATAAATTTCAGCTCGTCTTCGTGGTATGCATGAAATAACCGGTAATCTTAATCTTAGTGAAATACAAATGAAAAAATTAAATTTTACAACAATTCAATCGAAAATAATTCAATGTGCAAATATTTCATCTGTACCATCAAGTTCAGGAGATTCGACGATATATCGGTAAGAATAGATTTTATTGAATTAACAAAAAAATTATTCATATTACATAATGATTAGCATTTCTAGAGCAGAGATGGGATACTAAGTAAAATACTTGGTACTTTTTGTACTTTATACTAGTAAATCTCAGTATAAGTAATAATTTTTTAGTACAAGTAAATGTACTTGTACTTAGAAATCGTAACTGTGTACTGGTACTGGGTACTTATTTACTTAAGTACAGTACAATTAGTACAAAATGTACTTAGACAGTTTCTTATTAGGTATTTACATGCTGACGTTACTGGTACGTTTATTTATACAATATTTTTTTCAATTACTCAAGATATTTTTTACGTTTTTTCATTTCATCTAGGTTTTGTAGTATAACTTACGTACATAAATTTTCTTTAATAATATATTTATCTCAAATCTTAGTAATGTTTGTTCTCTAATTGTGTTCATAAAACTTTATTTTATTTGAATGTGACTTACAATAAGTGTGCAGATATTTTCTTTGACTTCTTCTTTTACATACAGTGAGCAATTTTAGATAAATGATAAAAATATTTATTGAAAAGAAAAAGTCATCAACCAAATACTGTAACAACTTTTTCTTAAAAAAATATAAGATAAAAGCAAGCACAAAAAATAGATTAAAAATATAAGATAAACGAGAGAGCAGCTGTCGTAAAATTTGATATAATATTATTTCATAATAAAGATTGATTTACTCTTAGAAACACCATATTTTTAAACAATTGCTCATTCATTCTTGTTCGTCGCGCCGTTAAAATTAAGCCTGCATTCGAAAATGCTCTTTCGATCGGTGCAGAGGAAGCTTGTACAGAGAAAATTCGAAAAACAAGTTTTTTTTAATAAATTTAATTGAGAATATGATCAGTACACTAAGAATTTTGATTTAACAGGATCATTTAAATGTTATTTAAGACTATGTTAGCATCGAATTATGCTCAAGAATAAAAGTACTTAGCATATGTACTTTTTACTGATACTTAAGTACAGTTGTACTTTTTACTGATACTAAGTAAAAAATACTTAAGTAAAAAGTTACTAAGTAAAGTACAAAGTAAATGAACGTAGTACAAAGGACTTATACTTGTACTTGGTGTACTTGTACTCGTCCAATGTCTGTTCTAGAGGAAATAAATTACCATAAAATGATTTCTTATTGTTTCATATTTCGATTAAATCATAGACGAATAGTTCTTATCAAACTTCAAGTTTGATTAGAAATTGAATGTTTAGAGAGCCAAGATTGAGATCGATTTGTGAAAACGAATCGATCAATGATAATGATAACTTTTTTTTGCGAAAGATCTAATTTTGATTGCAATAAACTTCTTCCATTCAGTGGCGGATCTAGGATTTTGGAAGGGGAGGGGCGATACCTGGGGGGGGGGGAAGGACGATTTTGGTTAAAAGCTATTTTTTGAGTCCAACCGAAGTAGTGTGAACCTATTTTTTCGTTCATTTTTGCTGTAAAAAATCAAAAACAAATTCGGAAGGGGGGGGGGGACGATCGCCCCCATCGCCCTTCTCTAAATCCGCCACTGCTTCCATTGTAGGATAAATCATAACTGCTGGAAAAATAGAGACACGAGAAAGAATTAGATTTTAATTTAATAATCTAATTTCTGATAGATGTCTCTAAAATAAATTCAATACTCGTTCACACTTTCTTTTCCAATATTAAAGTCTTTATTCGTGAAAGGTCTTAGCAACGAGCACATTTTTGTTTTCTATTTCTAGATTTGCTGGTCAAACAATTTCAAGTAAAGCACTTATACTTATTACTATTCAATTAAATATGTCTCAATCGATAATAAATTTTACGTTAAATTCTGATCGAATTGTTCTTGCGACAATGTTACTTGAAGAAATTAAACAAACAATTTCAACAGTATCATAAATAATAATAAATTTTTCGTTTTATGTTGTGATCATAATTATTTATCTATTTAATTCTTATGATTATTATTGTAATTTTGATTTTAGTTGTGCAATAAATAAATTTGTAATTTATTTCAGATTGTTATTTTAAAAATGACTGATAAATTAAAAGATCTGAAAATCAAAACTGGTGTTGCTAAACGGTAAAAAATAAGAAAATTTTCTTTCGAATCTATATTGAAATTTTTATTTCATAATTAGAACATGGAAAGAATATTTATCATATAAAAAAGAATATGATAATGAAAAACGTAAGGTTGAAAAAATGACAACTGAAGGTCGTGATGAATATGATGTTAAAAAAGCGGTGCAGTTACAAATTAAATATTGAAATTTTAATTCATTGCTTTTGCTTTATTTAGAATGAAGTATTGAAAGAAACGGAATCAATGATTTCTCATACAAAAAGTACTTTCATCAAAGCATGGAAAGAATTTGAAAATGTTTATGTAAATAATTAGGGTTTTTCTTTTGTTTTTAATGAAGAATATGAATTTATTTAGACTGCAGCTGGTAATGATGATACATTAAAACAATCGAAAGAATATGAAGAAGCACATAAAATTCATGATGAAGTTGATAAAGCTCAACAAGAAGATCGTGCTGCATCAACATGATTATTCGATTTTTATTAAAGACATTCAATTTGTGATATACATTTGATTTTATAACTAACGGGAATGTTTCTAACAATAAACTTATTCATTTTAAGCCAATCAAGACAAATGACTATTCTTAAATAAGGTTCATAGCGAATTAAAAATAATTTTCAGATACTAATAATATAATGCATGAATACATTATCATTCGAATATGAAGTTTCTGTTTTATATTTATGCATAATTGTATCTAATAGTGTAACTAGAAAAAAGTTGTAAGGCGGCTGAGCTACCATCTGGTTACGCGCCTGATTGTATCATTGTTTAATACAATTCACAACTGTACATCGTTGCATATTAAATATATTCTTCTGAACTAATTTCCAATATTAATATCGAAATAATTTCTGATAATATATTACAGGTAAAATCAATTCATCAGTTTATGCAAATAAAACTGCCGGAAATTACACTATGCAAATGGATTTGCGATTACCATATAAAAAAATCAATGCTCTTCGATCTTCTTTTTTTCTCTTTATAGATTGTGTGATTTAGTATGATGGATCATGCAAGATTTTTTTTTATTGAAACAGAAAGTTAATTGCATTTTCATATATAAATCAGAGATTTAAGCACAAAAAGAATAATTCCTACGATTAACTATCGGTTCTTTGATAGATTAATTAAATGAGAAAGATTGTTTTTGATTTCTTTTCAAATATAAATGATTTATCTTAAACGACGTACGAATAATTAATTTAGAATTCTATTTACAAATGACTATTAAATAATTGAACAATATTATTTAAATCTCATATTTTTTCTATTAAAAATTTAATTCTTAATTGTACATCTAGTATTAAAATAATCCATTTATTTACATATTTAAAAATAATATTTATGATGGATTGAATAATAGAAATAATTGAGAAACTCATCAACAATGCGATATAATGAAGATAGTTCTGTTAAAATAGAATAAATAATGAACGCAAACAGGAAAGAAGAAAAAAAAACGTCAAGATGACAGCTTTCGGATGATGAATAGAATTATTTTTATGTATATAATTATAATTATCTGATTATATAGACATTATATTTAGATGAAAGAACAATAGCAAAAAAAACGAGGAATTTCAAAACTAAAGCAACTTTTTCTTGTAATATAGATATATATATAGATAAGTTTTCTAAGCCTAGTTTAATCCTATATATGTGTGTATGATGAAAATCTTTTTATTTCCTTTTAGTATATCTCTCTTTAGTTTTCCTTTTTTTTGTAACAATTAGAAAAGATATAAATACAGGAGAAAGAGAAAAAAAAAGAGAAATGAAATAAACAAATAGGCAACAATTGTGCATAGAAAAGACAAGGATTCATTCTCTATACCACAACACAAACGAAAGAAAACAAAAAATAAACATAGAAAAAAGAGCGAGAGAGAGATTCTAGCACAATTCATCACCACTTGGTGTCGCCAATGATGATAAACCGTTGCTATTCGTATTATTATTATTATTATTGAGCAACGAATGCGTGATCGTACTTGTTGATGGTGATGGTGACGAATGTATATGATGATTATTCAATAGT